ATAGGCATACGTGGATTAGAGCGATAGAGGAAAGAGAAAGGGAAGAGCAAAGACGAGCGCTTAAAAATAGGGATAGGCAGGGTCAGAGCCTCAGATGTGCGACGATTCTCGAACGTAGGTGTGTACGTGTGCTGATCTTTGTAATTATAAATTGTGAATACATGTGACTAATATTATTTTCTTTTTTATTTTGTGCATGTTATAAGTTATAAATAAATATAAACAAACAACACTAACTCGATAACATTAAATCTAAGTACCAAAACGATTAATTTACTGTGTTTTTGTTATTTATTACTCCTGTTTTTAGGTATTCGGTATTCGGCCGAATAGTGAAAAATAGGCCGAATAGGCCGAATACCGAATAGTAACCGAATATTCGTAACATCACTAAAGAAAACCTTTCAATCAGCCGTAGTCCGTAAACTTCTCACGTGTCGGCCTGTGATTGGAAGGACTCGTAAGAAATCGGATTCCTAAAGAATGAAACGTATCTATGATCTTATAGGGGGGTCGACTGTACTTATTGATGACGCATTGATTCATGGAAAAAATGAGAGAGACGGAATACGACAAAAAAAATATATAAATAGTATACATATATTCATTTGTCATATTATTCACCCGCGATCGCGACCCGTGAGCGTGGTTCGACGACTAGCAAATCGCATCTATCTGAGGAGAGGTTATTTAAAAGTAATTGAGGAAAAAATATGAAAAACAGTAGAAACAGATAACACACCAAATAAGCTAAAATTTAGATTATTATTTGCGATTCGCTACTTGATCCGCGTTTGCAGAACTACTGATAACAGGCATAACTTGCTTGTCTTTCCATGTAATTCTGTCTACTTTTTGCAGATAATCTCAATAAAAAGAAAGAAGTATTTTAAAAATGATACTTCTAATTTTGTTCCGTTTAATTCAGGGCTGTGGAGTCGGAGTCGGAGTCGGAGTCGTCAAAAAATCCGCCGACTCCGACTCCTTTTTACTTACCAACTTGTTATGTACATAAAACGGAAAAGTATTGGAGTCGTGTCAAATTTGACCCTCCAAGTTTTTTTATTTTTTATTTTTTCAAATCTACACATTTGGAGACCTCCCTAACCCATGAAAAATGTCAATAAAGAGGAAAAACTCGCGCTCGCGTGTATGTTGGCGTCTAATTTGTTTAATTTCTTTATTTTCTGTTCTCAGAACGGGTAAAGTTTAAGAAACGAAACGTGGCACTGTAGCTTGCGTATAAAGGGGCATTAATATTATTAAATTTTGGTTCTTAATTAAAGGTCGACAGGGTGAAGACATAAAAGTGGTCATGTGTTATATCTCTTAATGAATATTTTACTCGTTATTAGCGTTCAAATTAAAGAAAAAACTAAAATAAAACTTGTCTCTACCCTCAAAGTAAGCTTTTTTTTGTCATTTTATAATAGTACAATAAAACCTCGCCTAAGATATTAGAATGTATATGGGACATGATTTAGTTTAATCACTTTGACGCTTAATAATTAACTCCTGTGTTAAACCATCTGACTCCGATCCTGACCACTTTGACCACAGAAATTATTAGGCTTCAAACAGGGTGAACAAAATCATGCCCCCCCCACACACTAACTTCCACACATATAGAAAAAACCTCGAATCTTTTGCATATCTCGAAATTTCAAGGTGTCCCAAGTCCAAAAATGTAAAAATTTGGGAGGGGTCATTTTTTGACCGAGCGCTACACTTTTCCTCTGTTATATATAATATATATAACAGCTGGAAAAGTAAAAATTATCGAATACATATTTATATATTACTTAGAGAAGTCTTTTAGCTTTGGAATAAAAAGTTTCTACGCTCTATCTTTATTACAACTCTATTTATTGAATATTTTATTCTGAGGTCACGTGATGACATCAGAATTTCCGGGTCTCTTTCGGTAACAAGTCTGCCCCTAGTCGGAGTCGGAGT